ATAAAAGTATTGTTCATAATCTCAAAAACAAATCCCTTCAAAACTGGAAGTGATCAAAAAGTCCTTCAGTATGTGAACTGATTAATTATGGTATATCCATACAATGAAATATTATTTAGTAGTAAAAAGAAATCAACTATCAAGCTACAGAAGACATGGAGGAACTGTGTATGTTAAGTGAGAGTGAAAAGGCTTCATGATAGCGGGAGCTCACACCAGTAACCCTAGCTACTCAGGAAGCTGAGATCTGAGGACTGAGGTGTGAAGCCAGCCCTGGCAGGAAAGTCCCCACGATACTCTTATCTCCAATAAACTACTCAAAAAAAAAAAAATAAAGTAGGAAGTGGCACTGTGGCTCAAGTAGTAGTGTACTAAGCCTTGAACAGGAGGCTCAGAGACAGTGCCCAGGCCCTGAGTTCAAGGCCCAGGACTGGGGGAAAAAAAAACCCCACAAAAAATAGGCTTCATTATGTTTGTATTTAAGGATATAGGATCTTCTTTGGTCTCACTTTATTTTAGTAGTCAAAGCAGAGACAAATAAATAAATCACAAAATAAATAATTTAAATGTTATTTTCCATTATCTATTTAATGATGGGACCAGGATTTGGACACAGGCCCTCTACTTGCTAGACAAGTATTCTGCTATCTGAGCCACACATGTAGTTGTTGTAGTTTTTTATCAGAGAGATCCTAAGTTTGGGGTAGCAGGATGATATTGGAGTGCAATCCGAGTACCTGTGCCTCCCATGTAGTTGGGATTATAGCCTCTGCCTGACTTGTTTTGTTGAGGTATGATCTTGCCTGCCTGCCTGCCTGCTTTCCTTCCTTCCTTCTTCCCCTTCCTCCATCTCTCACTTCCTTCCTCCTTCTCTCCCTCCCTCACCCTTCCTTCCTTCCTTCCTCCTTCCTTCTCTTCCTCCATCTCTCCCTCTCTCCCTCCCTTCCTTCCTCTGTCTCTCCCTCTTTTCCTTCCTCCCTTCCCTCTGTCCTTCCTTCCTTCTCTCTTTCCTCCCTCCCTTCCCTCTTTCCTCCCTCCCTTCCTTGGCCCTTCCTTCCTTGGACTGGGTTTCCCTCCAACTGTGATCCTCCGGATCTTCATATTTTGAGTTGCTGGGATTACAAGTATGAACCCTGTGCCCCCTGTAATATGAACCTGGTTGGCCCCTCTTTCTACAGTGGGGCAGGTTCTGTATCAGCTCTTATGAGCTAGAACTTGGTTTTAGTCAGACACGGTGATGAGGATGCCTCGGGTCCTGGATGACAGCTCAGGACATTTGAGATCTGTGAAAATCAAATCTTTTTACCTGCTACCTCTAGGTTTTTGGTTTAACTGATCTATGTGTTTTGGTGAGCAAAGATTAGTCTTGGAATCTCTGATGTTGATCATATAGTTAAAATTTATGCTTTTTTCTCACAATGAAATTCAATACTTTTAATACTGTAATTAAAGCTAATGCAAAAATAAGAAACCATGAGTTGAATCTTTTAGGGGAAGTCATTTACATAAAAATAATGCTAAAATGCCATAAGAAATTGTGATTATTTGGGGGGGGGGTAGGGGCAAAGAATATGACCTAAGTTATGACATACCTCTGTCAAATGCCATCTTGACATCTTCAATTAGGTCACTAAATCCTGATACTCGGTATAATCCTTCTGAATTAAGACCTATAAATCAAGAAATAATAAAACAAGTTTAGGAGATGGTTTCCTTGGATTCTTTAATTCAAATTTTAACTTCCTTTCATGTACCAGGTTGGGGAAGTAATGTGTCAAAAGAATAATAAAATAAACATGACTAGAAACTTTTTCACACCTTTGTTTTAACATAAAACTATTTCATTTACAGTTTTAAATTCTGACCCACTGGCACACAGATATTTATAATTTGGCTGAACATGTTGTCTAATTAGTTCAGATAATGTTAAAGTCTTAGGGGAAATAATTCATCACTCCAATTTCACCAAAAGTTCCTTTATATAACAAAGGAAAGATACATTGAATTCTAGGCCTGGGCCAGTTTTTCCCCCAAGGGAGAGAATAATTAGGGTGTAGCTCTGGTTTCTGGCCCAGGGTAGTTTTACTAGGGCATTTATACTTTCATTTATTTATTTATTTATTTTTGGGTCCGGTTGTGGGGCCTGAACTCTGGGCCTGGGCGCTGTCTCTCAGCTCTTCAGCTCAAGGTTAGCACTCTACCACTTGAGCCACAGCACCACTTCCGGCTTTTTCTGCTTATGTGATGCTGAGAAATTGAACCCAGGGCCTCATGCATGCAAGACAAGCGCTCTACCACTGAGCCACATTCCCAGCCCTATACTTTTATTTCTTAGATGTCAGAAAAATATTAAAAAAAATAAATTTGCTCTTGAAATTAGCTTTAAAGAATGGAAGCCACAGCTATAAATGTATCTTTTTTTTTAAGCCAGTTCTGGGACTTGAACTCAGGGCCTGAGATCTGTCCCTGAACTGCTTTTACTCAAGGCTAGCGCTCTACCACTTGAGCCACAGCACTTCTGACTCTTTCTGTTTATGTGGTACTGAGGAATTGAACCCAGAGCTTCATGCATGTTAGGCAAGCATTCTACCACTAAACCACATTCCCAGATGTAAATATATCTTTAAGAATACTTTTTATAGCCAGGTGCTAATAGCTTATGCCTATAATCCTAGCTACTCAGGAGGCTGAGATCTGAGGATCCTGGCTCAAAGCCAGCCAGGGCAGGAATGTCCATGATACTGCTATCTCCAATTAACAACCAGAAAACTGGAAGTGGAGCTGTGGCTCAAGTGGTAGAACAATATTCTTGAACTGAAGAGCTCAGGGACAGAGCCCAGGCCCAGAGTTCAAAATGCACAACTGGCAAAAAAAAAAAAAAAAAAGGAGAAAAGAATATTTTTATATTAGTTAAATTTACCTTGAGATTAAACCATTTATTTGCTAATTCATTTCCAACCTTGAGAGGACCTGACATAGGAAACCATTTCCCCGATATGAAAGACAACAGCAGTTCAGTGCACTAAGGCACCAGAGAAGGGCTAAGAACCCAGTCCCAGTGTCAGTGAGCTGGACTCGGGCAGCTGCATGGAAAGTGCCTCACCTCTAGACTCGATCTCCCTGATACACATGTCTACCACCATTGGCCGCTTAGTGATATGTGCTTTCACGAGCGTTGTTAGGTCACAGCTGTACACCTTCTTCACATGCTTCAAGTCTGGTTTACAGTCATTTGGGACCATCTTGGAACACTGCTTATGAACATTCAAACCACAATCTATGTAAAGAATACAGGAAACATCATAATTTTCAGTTTTGAGAATCCTTGGAGTGTTTGTTTTGATAACAGATATTTCAGATTGAATTGGGGGTTTCTAACAGTTTCCTCAGGGTAGAGAAAAAAGAGATCCTTCTTTGCTCTCAGAAAATTGCAAGTATATAAAAAATAAATAAATAAATTTTAAAAAATTGCAAGTATAACCTATAAGACTGGAATTTTAGCCTCTGTCTCATAATTTACTTGTTGTAAGAGCACAGAAAAGGAAAATTTTAGTGTTTCATTAAATGTTTATAAACATGTTATGCCAAATAGTCAATGCCGAGGTTTGAATGTATTTCCCCCCACCCCCTAAAATTCATGGGATAGGGTTGAGAGGTGTGGCCTTCTGGGAGCTGTTAGGTCATAAGGGCTCTTCCCTCACTCTCAATGGGTGATTGCTGCTATTAAAAACCCATGTAATGGTGGGATATAGTTTTCTGCCCTATGAGGATACTTGCTGCTTTCTGCTGTGTAAAGATGCAACAGGAAGGAACAAACCTTGAATTTGGACTTGACTACCCAATTCTATATACTTATACCTATTCTTACACTACTCTGTAGTGTAAGAAATTTTTGTTTCTTATAAATCTCCAGGCTGATGTATTCTGATACTGCAGTATAAAAGGGACCAAGATGGCCAACTAAAAATAATTTCTTTGAAGTTTCATGAGGTTTATATTTAATGCAAGCTATAATTATATCTCAATACATTTGATATGAAATAGAATTGAATCTCAAAAGAGAATCCCTAGCCCTTTTAAAACAATGCTGCTCCTATTTATAATCTTTGTATAAGTTGTAACTAATACTTGTTATCACAGCTATTACTAGCTAACATTTTTTTTTGGTTGGTCATGGGGCTTGAACCTTCGGCCTGGGCACTGTCCCTCAGCTCTTCAGCTTAAGGCTAGTGTCCTACCACTTGAGCCACAGCATCAATTCCAATTTTTTGAGTGGCTTATTGGAGATAAGTCTCATGGACGTTCCTGCCTGGGCTGGCTTTGAACCATGATCCTTAGATCTCAGCCTTCTGAGTAGGTAGAATTACAGGTGTGAGCCACTGGTGCCTGGCTCTAGCTAACATTTTTTGAGGGCTTAATATTGCTAGACACTATCACTTAAACTTACAGAGCTCTATACAATAGGTACTTTTCTTTCTCATTAATGCACAAGGAAACCATGTATATAGGTAAGAAATTTCCTCAAGGTACACAGTGGAGACAGCATTCCAACCTGCCAAGTGTTCAGCAATCCAGGATGAACACCTGGATCACACTGCTTCTGATTACTGGACTGTCACTTCTCAGATGCTATAGTATCTTAATAAAATATTAACATATTTAATAAAAATATTAGTATCTAATGAAATTATTAACATATTTTGAGATACTTTGTTTTTCAATGAGAAGAGTACAATAAAATTTTAGAAGGGATAAAGAGGAATACAACTTTTTTGCTAAATTAGACTGAAAAGGGCTAAACTGTAGCTGAATGAATAGTTGATCTTAAGTAAATGCTATCTTTATGTTTTGAAATTATAGCTCTTTTGTATTAAAGTTCATAGGACCTTTTACTTGACCTCTTGTAAAGCCAGTACAAGCTGGGAAGATACAGTTTCAGCCAAATCTTAATGAGTCTGACTTGAAAACCACAAATGCTATGGCAGCAACCTAGAGTCTCTGGGAATTCTGTGTCTCTTTTGCTGCTGTTATTGGCATATAGGAGAGCAAGGTACCCACTTTGAGATTACTGAGCCAAGGCATCCACACACTTTGCACATTGTAAAATCCTAGACAAATGCTGGGATCATGGTCATAGTATGACTTTTGGCAAAACTTACAATCTAGTTTTATATGACAATAACAACACATAGCTAAAACATAAATAGAACTGTTTTCTTGCCCAGCTCCAGCGGCTCATGCTTACAATCCTAGCTACTGAGAAGGTTGAGACTGAGGATCACAGTTCAAAGCCAGACCAGGCTCTTATCTCCAAAAGCTGAAAGTAGAGCTTTGGCTCAAGAGGAAGAGTGCTAGCCTTGAGCAGAAAAGCTCAGGCACCGTGCTCAGACCATGAGTTCCAAGTCCTAGAAACAGCATGCGCGCGCACACACACAGACACAGACACAGAGAATTGTGTTTTCATTAAATATGTAGACACTACCAATTTAAAAAAGATGTTATAGCCTGTGGAGCGTGAGGAGGAATTTGTAGGTAGGAGCATGTCCATAAGCAAAACCAGGCTGCCTGTGCAAGGAGCTGGGTCAGTGTACGTGTTTGTAAGCCAACAGCTATGAGACACAAGCACCAGTGATCATCATGTGCAAACATTATCACTGCTAAGGAATAGCTTCTTTGAATTTATACAGGCTTCGAGAGCAAACAGCTCAGTTATCGCTTTGAAAGAAATGAGGCAACAATATACTGTATAGTTAAACAAGGCCCAAACAACTATATGTATAAACAAAGCTGAAATCCCTTTTGACATTTATGTTAGGTAATATTTCTGGTTCAATCATAGGGCAAATTAATGGTAAAAGTCCACTTAAAAGAGAGATTTCTCACCAAACATTATAAAGTTTTTTGATAATTTCTTCAGTTTAGAGTTGGGAATCTATAAGCTACGCGATTCCTTCCGAGTCAGTTTATTTAGCCTTTATGTGCTTTAGTTATGCAAAATGGGACTGTGTTTCTCTGTTGGAGTTTATGTGAGGCCTGAATGTTAATCTATGTAAAATGTTCATGGCCTGTTCAAAAATTGTCATAAGATTGTCATTTGGCATGGTCATGACCAACTTAAGATCAGAAACTAAATTGAACTCAAGGTCAATATTCTGTGCATCAGATGTGAACATGAGATATTGAAAAATGAGTCAAAGAAGAGGAATGTACCTTGCCATTGCAGGTGGATGTAGAATTCAGGGTGGTGTTGACAGCAACTGTAGTACTCACTAGGGAGAGGGAGCAATGTGGCTTTTCCACAGGGTTATCCGGAGAAGAGTAGGTTTGGCTAAAAGGTTTCCATTCTCCTAGGCTGACCTTTGTCCAGTGGATTGGCTAGAAAGAGGAGGCTTTTCTACTCTTCTTGCCTGTTGGCATTTATGGGTTGTAAGCTTCTATCATGCCCAGGACACTATGAGAGACAACCACATACCACAATGGAACTTGTTGCTGGATTCTTACAGTTCTGAATTCCTTATGTGCTTTCCTTCTTGCTCTAACTTGCAAAGTATTCTCACAGTTGATATAAATACCTTCTTATAATTTTATTTTATTTTTGTAGTGCTAGGTGTTAAAATTACTGGATGAAATAAAGTGAAGAAATACATTTATCCAGCTTGTCCAAAATTAAAAACTCTTACACAATGTAATAGTATAAAATTTAGCTGGGGCATAGTGGTCCAAACTTGTAATCCTAGGTACTTGGGATGCAGAGATTAGGGGATTGCATTTGAAAGCCAGCCTGGGCAAGAAAAAGAGACACCATCTCAACCAATGGTTGGTATGGTGGTATTCACTGGTTATCCTGCTATGGAAAAGGCATAATGGCTGGGTGCTGTGGCACGGGCCCATCATCCCCAGCACCATGGGGAAGCAAAGAAGGAGGATCATAGCACAGGTATAAGGAGGGACTCTACCTTGAAAACAACACAGAGATCTTGCCTAGCAAGCACAAAATACTGAGTTCAACCCTTAGTACTGATATAAAAAAAAGTATAAAATTCAGAGCTGAGTATGGTGGCTCATACCTGTGACTCTAGCTATTCTGGAGGCAGAGATAGGGAAGATCGTAGTTTGAGGCCAGTCCAGGCAAACATTTAGTGAGATCCCATCTCAACCAATAAAAAGTTGGGCATAGTAGCACACATCTGTCATTCCCAGCTATGTGAGAAGTAGGAGAATCATGGTCCACTGTCAAGGCATAAAAGCAAGACCCTATATGAAAAATAACTAAAGTAAAAAGGGCTAATAATATGACTTGAGTCATAGAACACCTGTCTAGCAAGCACAAGCCTTGAATTCAAACCCCACTACTGCAAAATAAGTAAGTGCAAGTATAAAATTCACAAAATTTCATAATTATGTGTGCCTCATAGTTTACCTATATTAACACAGATCACAGATTGAGTTGAAAAGGGTTCTTGATAACAATCATCATTGTCAATGATGACTGTGAAGCTCAGGGTAGCTACAACTTGTTCAGGTATTCATCTAGAAGAGCAGTAGAGCTGAGATTCAAATCTTGGAGCACTGATTCCTCGCCTATGCACTCCCTACACTGAGTCATACATGCTTCTTTCTGCTAGCAGTACACTTAGTTTTCAGCACTGAAGATGAAATTTGCTATTTTTAACTACTGTTTGGTAATTAATGCTCATTGTATCCATTATTATACATACTTTAAGAAACACCGCTACAGAGTCTGTTAACTATTTGACTGATCTGATGAGACATAAAAAAAAACACCTAGTAAAACCTGACCATTTTATTCTTGTTTAATCACATTCTATTCTATATACAAACCTTAAATGGAAGCCAAATAGTAAATCTGATACAAGTACTTATTATCAGAAAGAGGCAATAATGCTTAATCTAAATCTTTCTTCATCAAATTCCTTGTGACTCAATGAAAACAAAACTGATGTGTGAGCTCAGATTGAAATGTTTAAGGAAAAAGGAAATGTTTTCTAAACAAATTTCTTTTCATTTGAGTAATGTGAAACTATGGGAAAATATTACTATGTTCAATCTGAGCAGATTTCAGTGATGAAATATCTAGCAAGACTGGATATGAAGTGCTTTACAAGACTATAGGACAGGACAAAAATACTAAACTTCTTTCTATACCCAAAGTTCATAGTACAATATGCCAAACCTGAGCTTGCACTGAAAACTGCTGCTTTAGGAACTAGCAGTGTACCAGGGTTTCAGACTTCCTTTGATTTTCATTTATTTATTAAAGTCATAGAACTCCTATAATAGTTCCATTTCTTCCAGGGAGGCTCTGTGCTGTATTTAGGGAGAGGAGAAGTCCATAGATTTCATTTGTTATATCTCTTGGTATTATATTTTTATGTACTATTAAACCACAGTTCCCTACCAATTTCACAAATTAATAAGTATTGAATAAGTGAAGGTAAATGGAATAAAAATAAATTATATCTATTCTGTATTTTTCAGATAGTATTTTTATTACTTATACTCTTTCTCTTAGTAAAAAGTCCTAGATTTCACAAGAATTGATTTCTCTAAAACACATGTATACTGTGTATCTAGGAAGCAGAGACTTTGGGGAATGTGGCAGTTCTAGGGTTTGAATTCAGGGTCATGAACTTGGTAGGCAAGCACTCAACCACTTGATCTTATATCTTCAACTCTTTTTGCGTTTAGTTATTTTTGAATTGGTTCTCATCTCCACTCCCCCTCCCCCCCATTCAGGGGCAAGTTTGGACCAATTTACACTTTCTTTCTAGCTGGGATAATAGGCATATGCCACCACACACAGCTATTGGCTGAGATGCAGTCTGTTTGCCCAGGCTAGCTGAGAACCATGATCCTCCCAGCATCTGCCTCCCAAGTAGCTAGTATTACAGAAGTGAGCCACCACACCCAATGATACCTATATTCTAGAGCAAATTACTGGTATTATTTACATTGTACAGATAGGATTAAGGGTTAGCACAATAACAGTAATGTGTGTTTTGGAAGATAATTATTTTCAATGAATGTTCATATTTAAGTGTGTTTCTTTTTTTACCCTCTTTTTTTTTTATTGATAGTACTATAGATTAAACCAGCACCTTGTGCATGTGAAGCAATTGCTTTACCAGGGAGCTATTCTTCAGCCTTAAGTTTTATTCTTAAATATATCTCTTAGACATTTCTCTCCCTATAAAAAGTAGAACAGCTCACATTCTAATATATGCATCACACAGCATTACTTCCACAAATTAAGAGGAATGCCTTGTCCTTTGGAATATTTATAAAAAATTACTTTTACATTAATTTTCAAATTCTCACAGACTTACAAGAATGACCACAACTTTTAGGGGCAGGCAATCAATAACACTAATTTAAAAAATATATTATTTCTAGTTTTTTCTATGTAAAAGTATTTTCATACTAAAGTAATAAATTCTATTGTTAATAAAAAAATTTCTCAGGCTGGGAAGGTGGCTCAGTGGTAGAGCACTTGCCTTGCATGCTCGAGGCCCTGGGTTC